AGTTCAGGTGTTTTATAAAATATGTGAATCAAGAAATTGTCCATAAACCAAACTGAAAGATTGTTTTTCTCTACTTCAAAAAAACTTTAGATTTTAAAATGGAAAAATTTAATATACTTTTTTATATTCTTTTATTTAAAAATGGAAGGTATAACATGAATGCATAAACACGTCATTTCATTTCAGTGTTAAATTCTGTTTAAAGTAACAGATCATTAAAAATGTCTCTGGACCTTTACTGGTTGATGATGTTCTTTATTCGGACCGTGCTGATTTTTAATTGGTTACCCCTGCTATAACATGTCCTTGATGGTGGCTGAACCAATAAAAGCAGAACCACTAAACAACTTAAGCCGGAAGCAACCATGCTTTCAGTAAAACATTTTTTTGTTTTAAAGTAAAAAGCTGAGAGAAAGTCAGTTTTCCTCTGATTTAAGCCTGTTAAGTGATTTCCATGACTGGGATGACTGAGAATTTGTTCAGGAATAGAAGCAGAACCATCAGCAGACAACATGGTGCCCCAAAATATCAGTTACATGAGAAAGTCCACACTGAACCTAAAACAAAAAAAATCTGGGCCTGTTCTCTTGATAAAGGCTCTGGGAGCTTTATTTACAAATTAAATACAACAATTACTTTATCTTATAATGAAGACTAGAAAGACTTTCTAACGCTGTGAGATGCTCCCACTTGTGTCAGTTGATATGCCTGCATACAGCACCTAGAACAGCAACCTTCCTACCATTTGTGGATTGCCCAGTTTATGAGGGAAAAAAATCAGTTTAAAGTCAGCTTTATTAAAAACAGACTTTTAAAAATAGCTTTATCTAATTATGATTTTTTTTTAGGGGGGATTTATTAATGCTTATAAATAATTCAAAGGAATTGTAATAAATGCTTACTATCGAAGAGGATTAGGACCACTGAAAAAATTAAAAAAGGTAACTGATTTCTAAATTTTATAGTATAATATGAGGAATTTTACTTTTTCCTCTCTTAGAACCCCAAACACAACACAAATCTTAAAATATGTTTTTCTTGGTTTTTTTTTTGTGCTCCTTTTTTGTGGTTGAAGACCTTTAACTCGTCGCGATATCTTTGTTTTTTCTAATGGGATTCCGTGTACATAGCTCTCTTTTAAACACATTTCTAAAGGAAATGAACAGACGAAGAAACCTTTTTGGCCCTTAACGCTTCCCGTAGTTAGAGAGATCCGGCGGGCGGGGCAGCGCGCTTCCTGATTTGAAACACCGCGGTACTTCATAGGAAGCCTCTTCCTTTCTCTGCTGTTTGTTTTCTTCAAATATGTCTCTCAACTATCAGGGATCGACGCTCTCTCTCACGCTGCCAATTTCGTGTCAGATATGTCTCGGAAAGGTAACAGCATCACGTTTTATAACCAAACTCATCCTCTCTTTGTTATCAATACATTTACACGCGAAAAAGCGCGTCACAGAAGTTCAGCTCTGCGATGGCGTTATTATCTATGTGGAAATGTGTTTATTATGACATTGGCTAAGTCTTACCTATAAATAACCAAGTCAGGTTTGCTCCTGCAGGTCAGGCAGCCCGTCATCTGTGCCAACCACCACGTGTTCTGTTCGTCCTGCATGAAGTTATGGTTGAAGAAAGCCAGCCAGTGTCCCACCTGCAGGGAGCCAATCACAGCCGAGAACCCCTGCAGGGAGATCATCGGTGCGTGGCTCCATCCCACAGTAAAACTAAGCAAAACGTGTTTACTAAGTGCATATTTCAATATAATCAGTTCATTAGCATCTGTAAGGTATTTAAAGTTAAACCAATTAAGTCATTCAGTTGTATATACATTTCACACTTTTAATAGAAAAGAATAGGAAATCCCTTTATTGTCCCACAGAGGGGAAATTCTGGTGTTTACAGAAGCAAAAAGATTATAGAAAAAATGGTCCCCAAAATTTTGACCTTAGAAAAATGTACAAGAATGGCATAACAGTGAAGAGTTAAATAAATAATAAAATAAAATATTCTACTGACTTTATTGTCCAAGTTCAAGCAAAGTTCATATTTATTTTTCCTACCAAGTTCCAAATTATTAGAACAAATGTTTACGGCTCTGTTCTGACTTAAATGGGATGTCCCTAAATCACACAGTAGCTGCCTGTTTTGTTAGAGAGTGGCGTTTACTGTTTATCATTTATTGTTACGTATGTCACTCTGTTTTAGATTTTGAGATTAGTTCATGTTTTAGCCACCACAGCTGTGCTTCTTTTAAAAGGCTGGCAAAAAAACCATGTTAAATTCAATTCAATCTCAAAGTAGAATTTGTTTAATGATGCTTGCCAAGATTATTAACAGAACTTAGTTATACATGAAATTACCACCATTTTAATGCATATTAACTTTATTTGGAGTAAAAAAAAAAAAAACTTTTTCTTCTTAATTTGCTATGTCATTTTGATGATACAAATTAAATGAAACCTAGTTCTGTGATGAAAGAGTATACGAAAGACTTTAGTATTAAAAAAAGAAGTCAGCATTATTAAGCCATAAATTAGTTATTTTTCTGATTGGTGCTCTTCCTGGTTTATGTAAAAAAACAGAAGTAAATAAAACTAACATGTCCAGTTTAGGGTGAGCTTAATTCAGTAAAAGGCTTAAGGGGTGAATGGAAGCTTTTGAGTTAACACCACATTAAAACTAAAGTTACTTGGTCATTGGAAAGGACTTTCCTCTAGGCCAATGCTGAAAAACACCTTTCAGAGTTGTATTTGTCAAACAGAGGTGTAAGGTTACACATTCTGGTAGAAATTATTTGCTGAAAAGGCAGAAAATGTAACATTTTGTTTTTAACCTTTTATATCCCAGCTTATCTTTTGTTTCACTCTGTTTTCTCCAACAGGAGGGACAAACGAGGGTGATTACAGTGAAAGCCCTTCTATGAGGAAATGTCTGCGGAAAACCAGAGGAGAACTACTTCTTCGAGAGTATGAGGTTGTCAAATATGGATTCATATTAGGTCTATCTTGTTATCGATGCAGATGGAAAAAATTTCGCCATTTGGCCATATAGATTCCTTT